AAAAAAAAATGGCTAAAATGGTAAATTTTATGCTACATATATTTCCCACAATTAAAAAAAAAGGCTAGTGAAGATATGAAAAAACTAGATTACTCACATATCGTTAGTAGAAATGTAAAGGTATTATTTATTTGAGAGAGAGAGAGAAACAGAGCACAAATGTGAGGGAGGGGAAGGGGCAAAGGGAGAGGCAGAGAGAGAGAATCTCAAGCAGACTCCATGCCCAGCGTGGAGCCCAGTGCAGGGTTCAATCCCACAACACTGAGATCATGACCTGAGCTGAAACCAAGAGTCCAACCCTCAACCGAATGAGCCAGCCAGGCTCCCCTCACTAGTAAAAATGTAAACTGTTATGGACACTCTAGAAAAGTATGGCAGTTTCTTACAAAACTAAACATGTGTGTGGTATATAACCCAACAACTGAATTCTTGGATATTTATTCCAGATAGCAAAACTTACGTTCACACAAAAACCTACACCATTTGTATGGCTGTACTTCATTTGTAGTAACAAAAAACTGGGAAATACCCAAATAGCTTTTAGTAGGTAAATGGTTAAACAAAACATGGTACATACATACCATAAACAACTACTTTGCAATAAGAACAAACCACTGGTACATTTAACAACTTAGATGAATCTCAAGCAAATCATGCTAAGTGAAAAAAAACTTATTTCACACACTCCCTAAATGTCAAAATTGTAGAGATGAAGAACACAAGTGATTTCTAGGGGTTCGGGAGGGTAAGGGAGAGAGGCAGCTGTGACAATAAGGGTAGCACAAGTGATCCTTGTGATGGAATTATTCTGTATTGACTGTGGTAGCTGTCATAGGAATCTACACATGTGATAAAACTGCACAGAACTAAATATATACACAAATTCACACACAGGGGTGCCTGGGTGGCTCAGTCGGTTGAGCAACTGCCTTCGGCTCAGGTCATGATCCCAGGATCCTGGGATCGAGCCCCACGTTGGGCTCTCTGCTCAGCAGGGAGCCTGCTTCTCCCTCTCGCCGCTCCCCCTGCCTGTGCTCTCTCTCTCTCTCAAATGAATAAAATCTTTAAAAAAACAACAGAGTGCTGTGTATTGTGTAAGACTGATGAATCACAGACCTGTACTCCTGAAACAAATAATACATTATATGTTAAAAAAAAAAGGAAAAAAATAAAGTAAAATTGGGATACAAAAAATAAAAAACAAACACACACAAAGGAGTGTAGGCAAAACTGGTGAAATTTGAGTAAGGTCAAGTGAACTGTATCAATGTCAATTTCCTACTTGTGATACTACACTATAGTTACCCAAGATATTACCACTGGGGGAACCTGGGCGAAGAGTCGACAAGATCTCTCTGTATTTCTCATAATTGCATGTGAACCTAAAGTTACATCAAACAAAAGGGTTTCTTCCAATTAAGGTGAAATAGTTATCAAGCAAAATCTGTGAGAATTCATTAACAGCAGATGTGCACTATAAGAAATGTTAAAGTCGGGCGCCTGGGTGGCTCAGTTGGTTAAGCAACTGCCTTCGGCTCAGGTCATGATCCTGGAGTCCCGGGATCGAGTCCCACATCAGGCTCCCTGCTGAGCAGGGAGTCTGCTTCTCCCTCTGACCCTCTTCCCTCTCGTGCTCTCTCTCTCATTCTCTCTCTCTCAAATAAATAAATAAAATATAAAAAAAAAAAGAAAGAAAGAAATGTTAAAGTCGGGGCGCCTGGGTGGCTCAGTTAAGCGTCTGCCTTCAGCTCAGGTCATGATCCCAGGGTCCTGGAATGGAGCCCCGCATCCAGCTCCCTGCTGAGTGAAGAGCCTGCTTCTCCCTCTTCTCGCCTCTCTGCTCGTGCTCTCCCTCTTGCTATCTCTCTCTTTCTCAAAAAAATAAATGAAATCTTTCAAAAAAAAAAGAATACAGGAGTACATACCCAAAATTGAAAGCAGGTGCTCAAAGAGATTACGTGTATACCATTATTCACAGCAGCAATATTCACAATAGCCAAAAGGTAGAAACAACCCAAAGTCTATCAAAAAATGAATAAACAGGGGCACCTGGAGAGCTCAGTTGGTTGAGCATCCGACTCTTGATTTCGGCTCAGGTCATGATCTCAGGGTCATAGGACTGAGCCCCACCTGGGCTCTGCACTCAATGTAGAGTCTGCTTGAGATTCTCTCTCCCTCTCCTTCTGCCCCTCCCCCATCTCTCTCTCTCTCTCTCAAATAAATATTTGAAAAAATAGATGAATAAACAAATGAACACGTGAGATACACACACACATTCCTTTTCAACCTTTTAAAAAGGAATGAAATTCTAAGATATGCAACTATACAGATGAGCCATGAAAACATTATGCTAAGTAAGCCCAGACACAAAAGAACAAATACTGTATGACTCCACTTATATTAGCTACCTAGAAAATGCAAATTCATAGAGACAGAAACAACAGAGGTTACCAGGCCCAGGGAAGGTGGGGATGGGATTGGAGCTGTTCTTTAATGAACACAGAGTCTGTTTTGGATGGTAAAAAAAAGTTCTAGAGATGAATGATGGCAATGGTTACACAACACTCTGAGTGCACATAATGCCACTGAACTATATACTTTAAAATTGTTAAAATGGTTCATTTTATGTAATTTTAACACAACTGGGGGTTTTTTGTTGTTTTTTTTTTTAAGATTTTATTTATTTATTTGACAGAGAGAGACAAAGCGAGAGAAGGAACACAAGCAGGGGGAATGGGAGAGGGAGAAGCAGGCTTCCCGCTGAGCAGGGAGCCTGATGCAGGGCTCAATCCCAGGACCCTGAGATCATGACCTGAGCCAAAGGCAGATGCTTAACGACTGAGCCACCCAGGCGCCCTGACACAATTGTTTAAAGAATGATGAAGTGTTACCAAAGATGAAAAGGGATTATTTCAAAATGAGAAAAGGACAGTTCAAGAATATACAATAATCTTGAGCACCTGGGTGGATCAGTTGGTTAAGCATCTGCCTTCGGCTAAGATCATGATCTCAGAGTCCTGGGACAGAGCCCTGCGCTGGGCTCCCTGCTGGGGAGTCTTGCTTCTCCCTCTCCCTGTGCACCCTTCTTACTCATGCCCTCTCTCTCTCCCTCAAATAAATAAAATCTTTAAAAATATTTTAAAAATTAAAAAATAAAAAT